AGCCAAGAAAGAGGCTTCAGTGTCTCGCTCAATGACACATGGGCACACTGGAGGAGCTGCATATTGAACCAGAAACCTTACAATCACTAGATAAACACTCCTGAGACTGTGGTTGTGATTGACAGTGCTTTCACATAAATTGTTGAAATTGACTAAATGACAGAAATCAATAAAACCAACTATTTATTGTCTTTTGCTAAATGCAGCACTTATGGCAGAGCTGGAGAGCTTCAATGGATTTATTTTGTATTTAGTCATACAATGAAGTGAGTGTTTGGAACGAGAGGATTTCATGTAGAATGAGTTCTGACATTGCACAAATGTAATAGTAATAACTGCAAAAGTCTCTAAGGCGGACATTATTTGATAATACTAGTAATTGCTGTACTCTTTGTTATTATACAGAGATGATTTCATCCATTAAAATGTTCTTACTTCATAGAATAAAGCATCATGAACACTCGCTATTTTTTAATAATGGATGTAACTTGCATCATGACGCAATTGTGATGCCAGACATGAAAACAGAGGACACACACACACACACACACAGACACATGCACATACATTCCTGGAGACTTACCATTATCCTTTCCCACCATGCACTCAGCCACAACCATAACACTGACATTAACCCAAAACGTCCACCGACCAAAAGAAGATTGTTGTTCAATTGAAAAGGTGTCCCCACTTAGATTTAGTCTGAAAGCTGTACCCAAAGGTAGCCTATACCACACACACACACACACACACACACACACACACACACACACACACACACACACACACACAGATAGAAAGTTGTATGCCACCTGTGTCCAGTAGAGTTTTAGTGTTGTTGGCTGAGGTATTACTCTAAGTAATGTCCCTGCTCATTAGTCACTGAGCTCTTCACCTCAGGAGGAGACTGGAACTGCACACACACAAACACACACAGTTGTTTGTGAGCCAGTGTGTGAATATCTGTCGTCAGAGTTTTATCAGTTTGCCTTTTGCCTTAACAGTTCTACAGCATCAATAATCGCGTTTCTAATTACAGTGTTTGCAGACAGCAAGGCAAAGAGAGAGCAGGCCTAGGAGGGGGAGGATAGGAGGGAAATACTTGGATCAGGCTTCAGGCACAACAGTTTCAATATATGGTCATCTACTTGTGACAAACATTTTCAGATCTCTCTCCCCACTCTGGCTCTGTCCTCCTTTTCTCCATCAAACATAGAATCTCTTCACCCCTGCTGCATGTCTTTTTAGGAGTAAAGTAAATATGTCTATATTAGCGTATGTTGTTTGACTATGGATGTACAATGTCTACTGTCACTTCCTATTCCTATTCTCTAACAATGGACACTTCCTTCAGTCTAATAAAAACTTGAATATAGACAAAGGGCCTCTGGAAATGCACAGTATGTGATCTGAGTTGACAGAAATGTGATCGGAGAATCAGAGAGGACATGACAGTTGGGGAAATGGGCTCTATTGTAGGAAAGTAAAATGTGATACACATATACTTAATATACTTTATGTGTGTAATAAAACACATGCATATACTACCAACTCCTTTAGCATAATTGGACCAAAAGATCTAACATTTATTTTTCCTTAGCAAAAGGCTAAATTGTGCCAAGTGCCACAGAAATACACTTACACTCTATACACTCTATATACAATACACTCTATCGACAACAACAATTCTGTCTGTATATGAAACTCATATCTCGAGAACCATTTCACTTATTGCCTTCATACTTGACATGTGTATTGGCAAGTGCCAAAAGAAATGCTGAGTCCATTCTGGTACAATTCGGAAATTTAATACGTTTAATATTAATGAGCAGGAGACAAGCGCTCTGTAGCAGCGGCGTCTGAGACACGATAACGTGTACACTCCAACAGCACGATCACAGCAACGGCAAAGACAACTGATTTTCCATTTCGAGGTTCTAGGTACGGAGTCGAGCTCCACCAAACTTTGGATAAACAGGTGAACATCCCATTGTGCAGCAACGGTGTCGTGGTCTTATGGATCTGCAGAATGAGTCCAGCGGCCAGTCTTTGCTGCAACTCAGTTACTGCAACGTACAACACGCACTGCTCAATAGTAAATAGTAAATAGTTTAAATAGTAAATAAAAAAAAAGAGAGCTCAATCTGAGAGGGGAACAGGGGAAGAGGCCGAAACCCTTGTAGCCGCTATATGTGCCCTTCTCCCAGTAGTTGCTTATGTTTCTGTGTGAGTGTTCCCCATTGAGATCAAGCCTGGCTTTACGTTGTAAAACCTTTGATAAAGCGATCTCTCCTAACAGTGTGACGCCTAGTTCTCGTTAATAATGCATGCTGCACTCTGCTGCACACTTATTCAAGGAAGCGAACATAGACACACACTTGTGTTACACACCTGTGGCCGGGTAAACTGTGGCCTTTCAAAGGCCATCCATCACACAGAGTAAGAGATCAGAGACGGGGGGAGATGAGAGAGGATGGGGGTTTTGAAGGCAGTTGACAACTGAGTGGTGTCTTGGGCTGTAGCCAATTAAATTGACATTGAGAATGGCGAGCAAAAATAAGTTTAAAGTAAAACCCTCTCTGCTGGTAACTATATATACATACAAGTTCCGATTTGCATTTGAGTTCCAGCTCCCCCACGACCCTTAAAGGATAAGTGGTATTTGCATTTCCTATCACTGTGGTTTAGTCGAGAGGCTCTAGAAAGACACACTGTAACAAATCTATTACCTTTGCATCTTCCTTTGCTCATCTGTCCATCAATGCACACATCCATCATGTTGGTGCGTTCTTCCCTTTTTTCATATCATCCATTCATCCATTTATCTCCCCGTTCATACATTTCAGGACAGAGGATCCAATATCTGCGTGCCTTGAGGTTACTCATGGGAGAGGATGAGACACAAAGACGCAATAAGGAGAGAGAAGTGATCGATGTCCGGAGGTAGGATGGACTGTCAGCATCAGGCCAGCTGACCCCCCAACCACAGCCTATAGCATTAACACCCACATACAAACACAGAATCGACCTCCCAGCCAACTCTTTCCCCTATCACTTTGCACTGAGGCCATTTTTATCCTCGCTGCTCAAGCATCTCATGGCACCAGTGTTTGGAAAAATGATAAGGACACCAGGGTGTTTACTTAACATACAAAAGACAGACACTTGGCAGGAGATGTGTTTATGAACATTCATAAATACTCCCTCTCCATTCCTAATAAGACAACAATGATGAGACCTTATAAAGGCAGAGTAAGGGGCGCTGTGACTGAACTCCCTTTGAATCTATAAAAACAGTTCAGTCGGCTATTATAAATGAGCTTCTCTGACCCATTTATGTATAAAAAAAGAGGAAGAGGAGGGAAGAGAGAACCTCCCCGGGGTCAAAGCTCTCATCATCACACAAAACAACAGTCCCTGCTTTCTACTCATGTAGTGTAAAGGCTTCAATTGTTTTCGCATATGACCTATATCATATATATAATGCTGTTACAGTTATAAGTAAGTAACTTACCAAGTAAAGTATCACCTCTGCACTTATATATTGTTGCTGTTGCAAGATAGTTTGTGACAATGTAAAAGCCTCCAGTGGGTTATCGACTGATTTTAACCAACTCCAAATATTTTCCTCAGAAGAAACCTTGGCACAGAGAGACACCACAGCACCTGTTCCTACAAGATCACGACAGTGGTTTGATTGTGTCTTCATCTATTTAAATGACAATGTCAACCAAACTCACTGCAATCACACTTGGAAAACTATAATTATGGTTTAATTTGGCTTCAAGGCTCTCTTGATGTTTTCCAATATTTACTGAACCTGAACCACAACCGAACAACTGAACCATGCTATGTATGTGAATGTAGCAAATATTGTTTCATGTGGGGTAGTAAATTTCTCTAATTATAAATTATAAATAAAATATAAAAATACTCGCTATACATTTTAAGCATACATTTAATCTTTCTACTAAGTACTAAAATTCCCTCTTCTCGCAAACACTAAACTATAAAGCTGTTTTCAGACTCCATAAAACTCCATAATTGGTTCCCAACATTCCCTGGAGATGCGGCAGGTGATTGTCTGAGTCAGACACGTTCACAACAACAGGAAAATCTAGCCTGCATATAGATCTTGCAGGAGGAAAGACATATATATTCTTGTTTTTGTTCAAAGCACATTGACACCAGTGTCTGTCCTTAGTGTCAAAGATGCTCGAATCTCATTGTGTTTCTAAGTTGACATCTTCTTTGGCCTCTCACATGTATGGCACCTGTTGTTTATCCTGAGATATTTTATATATTTACTTTTATATTCTTTTAGTTTGTTTGTGTTTTGCATCATCAAAATGCCAACTCTGTTGCTGTGAATTCTCCAGATAATTGGCTCACTCAGACATTATCCGGATGTGAACCAGGAGGCTTGGCAGGAAGAACTCAGGGGGTCCTCTTCCACTTCGTATAATTTGAGATTATCCAGAGTTAAGTGCATGTCTGAAAGCAGGTTAAGATGTATTGTACTCTGCAGCTAAAGCCCTCAGGTCTGGGTTGTGCTTCGATCTAATGTCCTTTGTTAAGTCAAACGACACAAAACCATAGTGTTTCCTGTGGAAAGTTTGGACATTTACAATTCTTTTCTTGGGGTTAACCATTGCCAGCTGAACAACACAGTCCATACGGGAAAATCAAGTTAAATCCAATGTGTCAGCAGAGATTATCATGCAAATCAAATGTATTATTCTTGCCCATTTCAATAATGAGGTTGCTGTTGCTAGCTTTGGTATAATTATTTTTAAATGTCAACCTGTCATAGATACCTACAGCACTCAATTACAGCTTCAGAGTTTTCCCCACATACACTTTGGTTATTGAATATAAAGACTCAAGTCTTTGACAAGAACGGATGGAAAACTTCTCTCTGTTGTAATAAATATCTCTTCCTGCTTAACTTTCAGACCAACAAACTGACAGCTGGTTCCTCTGAGTGGGATGAGTCCTACCTTCAAGGCAGCAGACCTCTTCCGCAGCAGCTGCTCAATGTTCCTGGCTGCTCTGGCCACCAGCTCCTCTGCGTCATTTTGCTCCACAGAGTACAGGTGCTGGTTTCTCAGAAAAATCTAGACAGACACATAGAGGAGAGATGGTGTAAATAACACATGCACGTAATTTGTATTTGTTTTGAAAAATATGTTTTGACAAGTTATTACAAGTTAATCACTTAATCTCGATTTTAAAAAGGAGCAGTCCATTTTCCAGTCAAACTGCATGTTAACACCAGTACTGAATCTGGATTATGCATGCGTGTCTATGGTTTCGGTGTTTCTACCTGTGTGAGGCTCCTCCCAGCTGTGGCCGTGTCTGCCAGGATGACGAGCTCTTTCTGCATCTGATCAACCCAATCTTTAATCCTATGGGACAAAGCAATGCACGAGATGAATCAGATGCAAGCAGACGACACATTGCACACATTTCATATAGTAATTAAATTGTCAATCAACCTTTCTCACGTCTATCTTCTAACAAGACCATCCAGCTGCACGGCTTCAAAACAAACAGGGCCAAAGGGAATCGCTCTAATAGGTCAGGAATAGTGTCAACCAATCAAACGTGCATCACCGGGAACAAATACAATGCCATCTAATCCAACACGTGTCACTGAGTGTCAACCAATACGATTACTTTGTGAGAGTTCAAGCGTGATGTCAACCAATCACACGAGTGTCAGCCGGTGCTGTGGCCGGTGATGGTGATGTGAGTGGACAGGTGAGAGGCAGGAGGTGGTCTGGACCGGTGTACTGCTCTGTGTATCAAAGAGCTCTGGGGACATGAGGGCCAGCCTGCTGCTGCACACATTGGATTATGCCTCCCTTTCATCCTCCTCCAATCATCTTGTCAAAGCACAGTAAGCTCACATGCATTATAATATATTGACAAAGTCCATCCCTCCTTGAACACAGTGGTAGTGGATAGAGATAGGTAGGAGAGGAGAATGACAAAAACCTAACACACTAAGCATTAAGTGACAGCCTGAATAATCCGACTAATAAATGGGGTTCACCTGGTATGAGAGGCTGGCGGTAACAAAATACTTGTGTGCATGTAGGTGCATAAATTCCCCATATATTCTGCATTCGTGCACACACATACACACGGACGCACAGGCAGTCACATTAATATTGCATGAGAATAATAACAGGTTCGTATGGGATACAGATACTGCTCTGCATTCACAATAACACAGACCCAGCCGTGACCTCCCCCTAATGGCGAAGAGAAAAATTATAGTCCCACATACTCGCAGTGGAATAAACAAACACGCATACCCAGAAAGTGTTCCCGACAAGTGCAGCAGTGAAATGAAAGTCTTGCAAGTTGCAGTATTTGTGCAAAACATCTCTTCTGATGCTCAACGTGGCAGAGGGAGTTGGTAAGATGCAAAACAAAAAGAGGGCACTCGTAAGATCAAGAAGATGGTAAAGAAATGGGAAATGTGCATCAGGGACACAAAATCCACAGTGGATGAGAAAAATTCAAAGTAAGAACACTAGCGAAGAAAGATGAGACACTTTACATGGGAGAGAGAGAGAGAGAATACCAGAGGGGATGTAACACAGTTTGAAACTGTTTAGGAAAAAAAGGAGTGTATGGGGTTTGGGTCTGGCTTGATTCAGCTGCTGTCCCATAATTCCCAAAGCCAGATGCTTTAGAGGTTGTGGAAAACATGACTGGCTGAGGCTTGGTAGAACTTTTTGGCTTTTTGAAACAAATGAACATAGATGTCAGATTGATTTAGTCTCCAGTCCTAAGGTATACTCCTTCTTTAGCTGCCAACCAATGCAGAAAGATCAGTAGAACCACAGGACTGGAGCTGGCCACTGGGCAATTAACAACCTTTAAAGGTTCAGTGTGTAGAATTTTGTGATATCTAGTGTTGAAATAGCATGTTGCAGCTAAACACCCCTCACCTCACCCTCTCCTTCTAAACATGAAGTGGTAGCCTTTAATTGTCATAAAAACTCAAAAGGTGTTTAGTTTGTCCAGTCTGCACTACTGTAAAAAAACATGGCAGCCTAGAGAGAGTCCCCTCGATGTAAATATAAAGTATTTAAATATAAAGGGCCTTTTCTGGGGTAAAGAAAACTACAATTCATACAATTTAGATGAAATGAACTAGTGAAAACATCATGAGGATTATTCTACATTAAATTTCTGCCAATAGTTCCCTTTCACCTAAATCTTACACACTGGACCTTTAAAGAAGAATAAGATCTGTTTTATTGTCTTATTATCCAGTTCTGGAACATTTGAGAAACACTAGCAGAGAATGTTGCCCGATGATAAAGTACTTTTATTACTGACACTGACAGAGCGTAATGTGTTAGAGTCATATTTGTTTCTGAAATGTTTCATATCATATTTTATACATGGAACATCTACCTTAGGCTTAGTCTGGTAGCTTGTGCTTTTCAGTTGGCTTATACAATATACTATGTGTAAATCCAATGTACATTTGAGAGCAACACACATATTTGGCAATTAAATCACAGTCTTTATGCTGCTACATGGTGACGTAATGAGAAGCTGCTTCTCCTCTTTTGTCCTCTTCTCACCTCTCGCTCACTCTCTTCTCCTGTCTTTGAGTCCCTTCTCTTTATCCGCTCTCTGTCCAACCCTTTTCCACAAATCTACTAACAGCTGATTGTATGGGATTTTAGCCTGAAGCATTGACAAGCCAATGAGTGTGTGTGTGTATTTGTGTGTGTGTGTGTGTGTGTGTGTGTTTGTGTGCATGTTCCAGGGACTTGCTTGACACTCTGAGAAGTAGAGCCAGCTCTCCGGAGTTCAGCTTCTGTGAAATCTGCTGCTATCAGTGTAAATCTCTGTAACAAAAACTCCCAGGTGCTGACGAATGGATGAGTCAACCCAGATGGTGCGGTCAAGTGCATGTGTGCATGTCCAATATGGATGACATGGACTTTTCTTCAGTGCACTTTGGGACATTTTGTCTGGACTTCAAAGCATGTCTGAAAGCATCTTATGTGTTCGTATGCACAAATATCAAACACTTAGATCAATGTTGCTCTAAAGTACTCACTTAGTACATTTCATACAGTAAATGATCATAAAATAGAAAGTTATGCTCGTCCCCAAAGCCCATTGCTCTATTCACAAACTTGTTTACTAAATAGGCATTAAACAACCAGACGGACAGTATTATCCAAGGACATGGAAAATCAATGATGTCTTCATCCTTGAATCACGCGTTCCCAAACAGCCCTTTAGGTCCCAACCTGGTTTAATGGCAACTTGTTATAAATACCGTGAGGTGACGCCTGCTGTCGGTCTGTCAGTTGATGTACGTGAAGTCGCAACACCATCTGAAATTGTGACTAATGCTGCTTATTTTAGCTCTTTTTGATTCCAACACAAATTAAGTTTAGGGCCGTGCTTGTTATCTCACCATCTGCCCCACTGTTTTTCACACATTTATATTGTAAACTTGTATCAATGGCTAAAATAGCAATTACGATGATTCAGACACTATAGTTATGAAGTCAATGTTGTGCTGAAGCAGCAAAATGTTTCTGCTCTGGTTGCTAGGCTTTGATTACTGCAGCCTCTGGTACTACACTGGATAATTAAACACACACACACACACACACATACAAATGGCAACTGGGTCAGACACTGCCCTACATTGTTTTTCAGACACAGGAAGAGCAAATGAGAGCAAAACAGAAAGACAGGCGGAGAGTCGATACAAGAAAGAAAGAGAAAAAAATACAGATGTGGTTGTGGTATCATTACTGTGGAACTCAACAAAGTAATGTGCCCCTCAATGGGAGGCTGCGTTAAACTGGTCTAATTACAGAGGCAAAGAGAGACGTGGTCCAGTCTGGACAGGATGGGGCGGAAACACCAACAGTGATGCACCCAAACAACCCATGGTGCTCTGCTTAAAGCTCTGTTGTTTTCATTAATGCTCAGGTGGCCAATTCCCTTTCTTTCCAGTGTGGCTGAAATACTAAAAAGTGCCTTGATGCGAAGAGGATGGTTTTGGATCGAGCTCTGTCCGGCGCAGTTCCTTCTGTCATGCAATTAGGCTTGTTGGAGATCTGACTGAAATATTTCTGGCTTATGCAACAATCCCATGTGATGTAGCATCTTAATTTCAAGAAAGCTTTTATGCCATTCTTGTTATATACTTTGAAATGTTTTTATAGACGTCTGTAGTCATGAAAAAAAGTTTAGTGCCCTGAGTATTTGAGGGATCAGTAGATATTTAGGTCCAAATGAAAGTTCTTGTCTTTGTTACATCTCTTACGTAACAAGTCAGTTTTGCTCTCATGTTGCAAGCTGGGGAGCAAACCACAGAATGTTTTATGACTTGCTTACGTCCTGTCGTCATCACCTTCGTGGGCATTTAATGCTGGTGTGTTGTCAATTTGATGAGTGTATTCGTTAATTTTTTGAATAAAGTGCAAAAAAAAAGAAGAGGTTTCTGTTGGAGAGAATTATTGAACCAGTTCACTCTCTTAATTCCGTTGCCATTATAATATCATTAGTTATTAATACCAGCAAAATGAACGACCTCGTCATTTAAACATATCATCTGAAGCGTCATCTACAAGTAATCCTGCCTATGATCCAGAACAAGACCCTCTCTTCTGTCTGTTGGTCCAGCCCATGGTCTGAGGAATCTTTCACACCTGTCATTTTGGTTCTCTCTGAAAAGTCCTAAGGTCCAGACCAAACAAGGTAGAAACGAAAACCTTTACATGACCAGAATTTTTCACAATTGATAGTTCGTTTTTATTTCTTTCATGTCTACTTGTAGTGGTATGAAATGGATTTGTGATTACACAAATCTATTTCATACCACTATTGTGGTGTGAAATCATTCTTGTTCAAAGACCAATACATGTATGTACACTGCTTTTAGTTCGGAGGTATATCTGCCGGGCAAAATAGAATATATCATGTTTCTTTTCTGTTAGAGGATCCAGGCAAAAGATTTCCTTCTGCCGAGGACTGAAAGAAAGAGCCCTCCACAACCTCTCTAGGTCTAATGGAAATTCAATTTAGCAACCAATCCAAAACCAAGAAAGGACATGGAAATATGAAGATAGTGATGTTGAATGGTCACCATAGCAAACACAAAGCAGACTGCATCTATCTAATGGACAGTTGTAGACTCATATAATTTATTTTGTTAGCTTTTAACTCTTTGTGAATCATTTTAACCTTCAAGACAATTCATGTATTTTGTATGGAGCAGTTAATAGAACTGGCTCTCCAAGTTTTCACTCTATACTTACTCATTCACAAATTGACAATGCTGCACAAATACAGATGTTATTTGCCATCACTAATTCTGCGTTGACCAAATGGAGCAGAGAACATACAGTACAGCCAAATGTGCAGCAGTGGTTCTTTGACTACTTGTAGTTTTTGCATTTGATTATTAGCAGCTGCAGCCTACTGTATTATACTGAGCAGTATTTAGAATACTGAGTCAGTGTCAGTTTGCAAAAGGTATTGAAAAGGTCTGACTGCTGCTAATATTCAGCTTTGGTCCGATGAACAAATTTCAATTTGAGTAAAAATCTAGGGATAGCATGCAGATCTAGTAAAAATAATAAATGTGACTTTTCACTGTTTTACTGACTCTTTGGTTCGGGCTCATATGTATTTTAAGAGATGGCAAAATAAATGAATAAATTATGTGTAGTTGTTAGTCATTGACACCAATATAAATAAATAGTGCACAGGTCTGCTATTAATGTTTTGTAAACATTGGTTTATAACATTCTCACATCAGCTAGG